CCAATTGTAAGCAATAATAAAAGCCTCCTTTTAGGAGATAGGCCTTCGTTTCCTCTGGAATTGGTGTCTGTTTGCCGCATAGGCCTCAGCCCAGCCTGGAAGGCTGCTAGGAGCTCTGTGTACCACACCGATGGGTACAGTTGGCTTTAGGGCACCTGAGCAGCAATGAGACTGAGGGTCCTTCAAAGGACAGGATAAGGACGCCCAGTCTCATACTAGAAGGGAGGTATTCTGTGAACTTACCCATTTTTTGGGTGCATACTCTCTGGGATCAGGCTTCCCTTCTGCCGGATCCCTCCATTGGGTGCACTGGCTACATCAGCAGCCGTCCAAGGGGGCCAAGGAGGTGGACCCTCCGGACATCAAACCCTGTAGAGAAAGCAGGCAGGTGGGGTGCCTGGGTGGCTCAGTCGTTAAGCGTCTGCCTTCGGCTCCGGTCATGATCCCAGGGTCCTGGGATCAAACCCCACATGGGCCTCCCTGCTCAGTGGAGAGTCTGCTTCTCCCTCAACCACTCCCCCTGCTTGTGCTCTCTCTCTCTCTCGCTGTGTGTCTCTCTCTGTCAAATAAATAAATGAAATCTTAAAAAAAAAAAAAAAAAGAAAGAAAAGAAAACAGCCAAGTGTACTCCAAAACCAGAAGAAAAAATAACATCAAACATTTGTCATCTTTTGTGGGATTGACTCCTCTCTGTCCCCAAATGATTTGTGTGTCTGATTTAAAGAAAATTTTTTTTGTTATTTTTCTAAGTAGGTTCCACATACAGGGTGGAGCCCAGTGCAGGGCTTGAAATCATGATCGCGACCTGAGCTGAAATCAAGAGTTGGACACTTAACCAGCTGAGCCTCCCAGGTGCCCCCAAATATTGTTTTCAGTGTAGGTGTGGCTCTTTGGGGGTCTGTATGCCAGGAAGTTAACTGGTTATTTCTGGGTGGTTGAATGATGGATGATTTTCCTCCCTGTTTTCTGTTCTTTTATCTTTCTTTCTTTCTTTCTTTTTTTTTTTACAATAAACAATTGTAATTGGAAAGAAAACAAAATCTGTAATTACAACTTGAAGTCTCAGTCAGCATCCTTCTCAATGGATAAGTGAGTTTGAAATGGCATGACAGCTGAAACTGCCTTGGATAGGGTGAGGAGGTCATTGCATTTTGTAGCAGCTGTTTGGACTCCGAGGTCAGTCGCGGGGCCCAGAATTTATTCATCATATACTCCTTTCAGCAGGTGCCAGTCAGTTGCCAGCTGAACGGGCTCCGTGACTGACAGGTCTAGAATCTCCTCGTTGGTTGGGTGGTGGTAGTAAGATCTACCTCACAGGACCCTCGTGGGGGTTAAATGAGATGATTTTTGTAGAGCAGTTAGAATACTATCTGGCATATGGTAAGCATCCGTTAGAAGTCTTCGTTATTTATAGCCTTCCTTATTTTAATAAGTGTCTCCTATGTACAAAATGCTCATAAATTAAACACAGAGCTTTTCTATAAGAAGCTCAGATTCTAGCAGCAGCATAAGTAAGAGCTGTCCAGAAATAAATAAGCCTCAAAGAGGAGAAAAGGGTAAGTTTCTTGATAGAGGAACAGTAAAGTCCTATGGAATATCAGAGGGGGAGACCCCTTCCAGACCGGGGTGAGGGGTGGGAACTCAGGGCAGCCTTGTGGCAGGGGGGCTGTCTGAGCCCGTCAGACCAGCTCTGTGTGCAGGAGCAGGCGGAGTTTCCTTCCTCTTCAGATGGAGCTGAGACTGCGGGCTGTGACGAGCTGCCAGCTTTCCTGCAGGGAAACCCTCCCGAAGGCAGCGGAGGAAGGGACTGCGAATCCCGGCCGGGCCCCAGCAGCCCTGGCGAGGAGCCCAGGCTCTGTCACTTAGTCCCGTGAGCCTCGTGCTGGTCGGTTGGCCCAGCAGCATCGGCCTCCGCAGCTGTGAGTGGAGGGGCTGTTAAAGCTCCTCACCTCCCAGGTGAAAGGCTAATGGAAGGTGGTGTCTCGAGAGCACTCAGCACAGAGCGTGGCGCCAGGCCACCAGTGTCCCTGCTGTCATTAGTCGTCGGCACTCCGAAGGCAGAGGAGCGCCCGGCCTTGTCTGTTCTCCGTGGTTCTGTGACAGGTGTACAGTTAACTCAGTGTTACAGGTGAGGGTCAGAAAATGTATGTGGTTGAAGAAAACAGTATCTGTGTTTTTATGAATGGGCCCCTTACTTTTACTTTTGTTCAAATAACAAAGCACTGAGAGTGATTTTGGCAAACTGACCTGTCCAGGGCCCAGCTCATTTCTTGATGTGCACTTGGACTTCTGGAATAAAGGCCTGGCAGATAACGGCCCCAGCCGCCACCTCCCGTCCCTCCAAGCTGCGTGTTGCTGCTGAGAACACGCCTCACAGTTCCCCGTGGGCTTTTTGTTCCTTATTCATTCTGATGTTCTCAAGAAATAGTGGGTCCTTCTTCTGGCTTCCTGACGTTCTTGACTTTATTCATGCACTGTTACATCATCCTCGGGGTAGAGCATGGTGACACTAAGTCAGAATGAGAAAACAATGCCTTTACTTTAGGATGTCGCAGCTTATTTTTGCAATTTTTTTTTTCAAATAGTTTTGAACTTGTAGTTCACAGGCCCTTAATCCAGATAAGAACCTTTTATGTTAAGTGCCATTATTATTCTCACTTTACATAGAAGTTAACTTGCCCAAGGTCATCCAATGCTGGAAGGTCCAGGGACAGGAGGGAAACTCAGGTCTCTCTGAGCTGGGAACAGGCTCTGAGTTAACTCCCGTTAACTGGAGTTCTTTTCATTCCACCACAGCCCTACGCCCGCTTATGGGAGAGCCTTTGGACTGGCAAACTCCCTCCTAACGTATAGTCTATTTGCTTGGTCCTCCCTGATCACAGCATCAGAGAGTTCTGAGAATTAAAGTTTTCGTTAAGTCATAAACTCCCACAGCCTTACCTCCACTTCTAAATAGTTTTCTTCTTTCCCTAAAGAACTTCAATCCCAGCTTCTCATCCGAGTAGGTTTAAGACAAATCAGATCTGCCTTTTGGAGGAAGGGGTGACTGAAGCCCAGATTCCTTCGGGTCACATGGTATTTGGGGAGCAAAGCAAGTGAGTACCTCCTCTTACCTAGTGACCTGTAGTGTTTCCTTTAGGCAATAGATTGACTACTCCCCCCCAACCCCCTGGCCCCAACCTGGGTGAACCCACCCCTTCCCCATTTAAAAAAAAAATAAGTTTAGCCCATTTTTCTAAGGAGAAACGATCCCATTTAGAAATAGCATTGGCGGGGCACCTGGGTGGCTCAGTGGGTTAAAGCCTCTGCCTTCCGCTCAGGTCATGGTCCCAGGGTCCTGGGATTGAGCCCCGAGTCTGGCTCTCTGCTCAGCGGGGAGCCTGCTTCCTCCTCTCTCTCACTCTCTGCCTGCCTCTCTGCCTACTTGTGATCTCTCTCTCTGTGTCAAATAAATAAAATCTTAAAAAGGAAAAAAAGAAATAGCATTGGTATGTGTATGGCATGTGTGCTGGACTAAGTAGGAGTTAAAGACTCAGTTTCCATATCTGCCCCTTTAATCTTGAGCTGTGTGACCTTGGGCATGTCACTTGGCGTCTCTGTTTCATTTTCCTACCCAGGAAAAGCAGACTGGTAATTCAGCCCCTGGGTACTAATTCTCCTAAAATGAGAATCAGATGAGATTATGTAGGACAGTGGAGCTACCATCCATCAGCACTTAGCGTGTGCAGGTGCTTTCTGCCCCTTGCATGTGCTCTTTAATCCTCACAATCCTGAAAGGGAGGCCCTATTACCCCAATTTACAGTTAAAAAAAAAAAAGTTCAGAGAAGTGAAGTCACACAGGACTCAGATCTATGGCTCTGGTTCCCAGATCGCTGTTCCCATAGGCAGTGTACATGTCACACTGCTTCGCTCTGTACCCAGAAGCACAGAGTTTTTTTCTCTCTCCGCCTGCAGGCACTCCACAAATGCAAGAGATTATTATGGTCGCTCCTAATCACTGCTGTTCCACGTTAATCCCTAAGGACAGCTCTCCTGCTTATTTATCTTATCGAGTAGTTTATGCTGCCTCTTTCCATGTCCCCCAGGCCTTGTTCAGTGAATTCTTTGGGTTTTTCTCCCAGAGAAACAGTGCGGCTCCACCACAAAGGGGGTCGAAGGAGCCAGGCTGAGCCTGGCATCGTGGGCATTGGCCTCTGACCTGCCAAGGGTTCTTCCCTCCCTCAAGCGTGTAATCAGCCAGCTTGTAGTACAGGTCTTTTTATCTTGCGTCTGGTATAAGCTCCTCAGTCGTTGAGTTTCAGAAGTGGAAGACCCCCAGACCATCATTTTATTGATGGGGAAACTGAGGTCAAGGGAGTTAGGAGTGTGATTCCTTCAGTTAGGAGTGTGATTGAGGCCAGAAAGAAACGAGTTCTCCAGGCAACAGACCAGTGCTGCTTCTGAGCCTTGCGCTTGGGCACGTGTCATCTCCCCTAAGTGAAGGACAAACATACACCGTGCCCAACACACACCTAGGAAACTTGGTGGGGAAACGGAACAACTTGGAACATGGAGCTGGAGGAAAGGAGGGTGGGGTGGAGTGGGGATGCCAGTCTCCACCCTAACGAGGGTATTACACACCAAAAAAGTGAGTTAAAACACAGCAAAGCAAACTAGATCGTTTTCACTCAGTGGTGACTAGAGGCAAAGGGACTTAGACCAGGAGCCCTGGCCCAGTGAGTGGATAGGAAGCCTTTTGTCACTAAGTCTGCGCTGTTGAAAATTGAAGGAAGGATGTTAGGCAAATGTGACTGCCTGGGATGAAGTTACAGCCTCCCAGCTCATTGTCCAGAGGAAATGGATCTCCCCCGTGGACGGAGAGGTGGAAACCGAGCAAGGGAGCTGAGTGGTTGACATCATCAGGCTGAGCATTGGGTTACAACAAATGGGGACTTACTTGGCCCGGGACATGGGAAACACCCACTAAAACCTCGAAGTGCATTTCATTTAGAGACGCCGAGAGGGAGAGAGGGCGAGAAAGAATCCAGACTGCACCGCTGGCCTGGTCTGCTAATCTCGCTACCCCTCAAAAGGGAGGCGTTTTGAATGCTGGTTTCTTAAATTCTCCCTTGGCTTGGACTGAGGAGCCCTGGACCTTGGAGAAACTCTGCTCTTGTAAGTAGAACTTTATTCTCCACCATCACCCCCACAGCCCTGGGGAGAGCAGGGAGGGAGGCAGAGCTCTCCGGAGGGCTTGGCTTGCTTCACAGCCTGTCGGTCAGAAAGTGTCTATTTTTATATTATGATATATTATTGCTCTGCAAATTATGGCTTTGTCTGCAACTGCCTGGGGCTAGAGTCTGAACTCAAGTTTCACGGATGGGCTCCATTCAAACGCTGTTTGAATTTTTACCCCAAGAACACAGACAGATCGGCTAGAGCTTTAAAAGCAGCTCGTTGCCCTGAAGATAGGTGAAGAAGTTAAGTCCTTCATTAGACACCGGGGTTTGTAAAACCTTTAGTTTTTTCTCTAATTACCAAGGCTGTACAAACAATTTTAGACATCCTAGAAAAAAGTGTCTCTGGAAGTGACAATTCCCTGTAATCTTCCCCTCACAAAGACAAGATTGGTATTCTAAATGCACGATCTAGAAATGATTGGGTTTCTGAAGTTCGCTTATCACAGGCATCCCACTGGTGCGGCAGCTGGGCGGACTCCCAAGACGGAAAGAAGCGTGGGGAGACTTTAACTTTGGCTTCATGGTCTTTTTATTGCTTCCTTTTTAAAATTTGCTGTTGATGCCTAGAAAGTAAACAGAACAATCGTCTAAGTAAGCACTTCAGCATTTTCTTTGTTGGGGTCTGTCCTCAGGTCTTTAAGCCAGGTGCGTCCTTCCAAGCGGTGCGGAGGGGAGGGGAGGGGAGGGCAGGGCCTTGTTGCCCTGGGGCCCTCACCCGCAGGCGCCTGAGCTGACCATTCTCCCTCCCGGGGTGTGTGTGTGCGGTACAGGGTTTGCAGCTGCTGCCTGCGACCCACCGTCCCTGCCCGCAGGTCAAAACAGTTGGGAAATCACGGTTAAAGGGGAAAGACTTCGGCTTTAAGAAACAAAGGGCCAGCCACGGACGGTTTGCCGCCTGAGCGAGTGTTCCACACTCTGGGCCTGTTTCCTCTTTTGTACCTAAATAAAGGGACAAAACTAGATGACCGCTATATTTTAGAATTCAGCTTGAAATGAACCATCCGCATCTCTTCTGCTTGCGGAGAATCCTCAGAGCTTGAGGATCAAAGTACTCTTGGTTTCCAGTATCCCCAGAGTGGCTAAAAACCGGCCCCTGGAAGGACAATTAAAAGAGGATATAAAACAGGCAACAGTAAGTTACTTTTGGGTTTTTTATAGTTTTGTAAGGTTTGGTATTCTTGAGCGTGGTGTGCAGGCGCATGCACAGTGTTGGGTGGGGGCGGGGAGAAAAAGAATGATCCCTATCGAGTGTCTCTCAAGTGCTCAACCCCACGTGATGCTCAGCCTTTTCCATAACCTGAGGTGGTCAGTGTCCTTGCTCCTAACTCCACTGACTGAGGGTTAATCTCCATGGTATGTTCCCGTATCATCCCGACCACCTTCCCCGTTCACCTGAACTGGGCTCACATAATTACTGGCAGAACTTCATTCACTGTCTCCCCTAGACCATGTGTCCCCTCTCGTGAGTCTGTCTCATCCATGACCAGAACCCCGTCCCCTGGTAGAAAGGTCCAGAGGAGACGGGGCATACTCAGTTTTAACACAGAGGCCACCCTCCTAGTCCCTAGCTTGGCAATAAAGAGAAGAGGAAGGGAAAATCTCCCTCTGGGCCCTTCCACCTCATGTCACCTAGACATGGCGACTGCTGCTTCAGGACAGCGTGGCTGGGGCCAGAGTGCAAAGAAAAACAGAAGATGTGGTCAGGTCTGGATTTTTGAGCGGCCAGGGGGCCAGGTGTTGGCAGTTTAAGAGATTTCTATCTTTAAGGCTACCCGAGTGTCCAGCCCTCAGGAAAATGCAGTATTTAAAAACTGCTTGAGGGTGCCTGGGTGGCTCAGTGGGTTAAAGCCTCTGCCTTTGGCTCAGGTCATGATCTCAGAGTCCTGGGATCGAGCCCCACATCGGGCTCTCTGCTCAGCGGGGAGCCTGCTACCTCCTCTCTCTCTGCCTGCCCCTCTGCCTACTTGTAATCCCTGTCTGTCAAATAAATAAAATCTTAAAAAAATAAAAATAAAAACTGTTTGAGTTAAGATCATGGTTACCAGGAGGGTTCTCAAAGCCCCTTGTCGTATCTGAGTGTTTTGGTCTTCTCCATGGCTCAACCCTTTGAAAGTGGACCGTTGCTACCACGGAGCCATGCACGGTCTTGGGCAGGGGGCCCAAGGCTCTCTGCCTCAGCCCAGCTGCTCAAGATCTCCAGATTCCGGCTAATTAAGAAAATGGTCCCAGCAGCACCTGGGTGGCTCGGTCAGTTACGCGTCCGACTCTTGATCTCAGCTCAGGTCTTGATCTCAGCTCAGGTCTTCATCTCAGGGTGGTGAGTTCCAGCCCTGCGTTGGGCTACATGTTATGCATGGCACCTAATTGAGAAAAAAAAAAAGGTGGTCCCTCTTCCGAAGACGGTGGTGAGGAGGTGATATTCTGAAAGGAAGGTATTTGTTTTGAGTTTTTATTTTTGTTTGAATTTGAATGTCTTTAGCAGGATTGTTCTCCAGTTTAGTACTGTCTGTGTCATTTGCTTGCCCATCTGTCACCATCTCTGGTCTCATGCCTGCCGCTTGGCCCCTGTGGACGTTTACCTTCGCGACCCCTGGGCTGGTGGGTGTCCACAGTCCCTGTTAACTTCAGACTGTGTAGAGGTCAGTGAGAAGCTGGGGAGGGTAGCAGAGAGAGCTCTGCCCTCACCATCTCCTAGTGGAGACATCTCCAACAGATTACCTCCTAGAGCCTGCTTCTCTTCTGGAACGTGGGCGGGGGGGGGGGGGTCACAATTACACACACCTTCCTCCAGGGGTGCCACGAGGATGAGACAGGATAAAGCTTATAGTGCACCTAGTTGGCACAAAAAACATGCTTGGGGTTGCCTACTTTATGGTTTCCAGAAAGAGAATGCTAGCCAATGTATATAGGGCCTGGCCCCGTCAGTCACAGGATGCCATCTGTACGCGGGATGTGGTGTCCTCTCTGAATTGATCAGAGCTCCCATGCTGGCTCTTTCAGCCAAGCCTTAGCACCATTTCCTATCACTCAGTCGGGTGCTCAGACCAAAACCAGAAGTAGGTGCTGTTCTCCTGGGACCCGAGGATGCTAGCCCAGCCACTTAAGGAAGAAACTGGTGGCAGGTGTTATTCTCTGAGTGTGACGATAAGCTGAGTTCACCCAATTAACTCTGCTGAGTGTTTATACAAGGGGCCAGAAGTGATTCCTAAGTGGAGACAGACGTGGAAAATCTCAAGTTCTTGGAAACAAGTCATTAATCATGACCCGAAGCTGCGCTCACTACCTCCTGGAAGTCTTTCAGAAAGGCCTTATGAAAACTTTGAGCGCCTTCACAGAGTGGTTCCTTCGGAAGCTGCCATGCTGAGTGATTGTGAACAGCAGGTTAAAATGCATTGGCTCTTGCTTGAGGAGGCCGGCATTTCCTAACTTTATTTAAAAGAAGTCTCTTTGATCTTCCAAGAAATGACTACTCTTCAACTGGGCTTTTCCAAAATGAATAATGGACCTTTGGGAACATTATAAAAATGCCTTCTTATTATGTCCCCGGGACCTAGGTCAGTCATTATGTTTAGGACTTCATAGGCGTGATCTCTGCCATTCAGTAAATTACACGGGAGGCAGACTAGTACGAAGCACTAGGGTGTGTGGAGGAACAGGGCTGTGAGGAGACAGCCGTGGCCTTGTGAGGTTCTCCACGCATCACAAAGACAGGCACGTCAATGAACAGTTGAGCTGCACCAGCATTTAGCACCAGCTGGGGATCCTGGTCTTGAGCTGGTTGGTTACCCCCACACTTCCCCTCCATCTCCTAATTCTCAGAGCTTTGCCAGCACCTGCATTAGGGAGAGATGAGAACTGTGCCCTGCGGAAGCTTTCACTCCTGGCTCCTTTCTGCCCAAGGCATCTGATGAAGGATGGGAACTCTTCCTGACTAATTGCAGGGGGGACCCCACCCTGGAGGACCCGGAGTCTGCAATCCCAAGTCGAGTAAGGAGACATAAGGACGGATGATTCTGCGGTCTAAGATTGTCACTGGATTTTTCTGCTGGTTTGTTTTTATAACATTTATTGTGGTGGGTTTTTTTTTTTCTCCCCAGATTATGAAATTAGAACATGTTCATGGAAGGAAAGCTAGACAGTACAGAAAAACACTTAAATCATCACCCAGTGGTTTCATGTCTCTGGTTTTTTAATAGGGCATGGCTAGGTCAGAGGGGAACTTGCTTAGATCTCCTACACATATTCTGGTTTGGCTCCAGAAAGTTTCTGCCAAGGTAAGAAACTCCCCTTTAGCAGTACATGCTTGTCCTGTTCTCACCCTCACACTACCATTGCTTTCCAGGTTTCACTTCTCATTTTCTGGGCAGAGTCTCTGCCTATCCAAGGTGCTCAAGGCTTGGCGGGGCAGTCCCCTAGTAGGAGAAGCCGTGGTCTGTGGTTGACTAGAGACTGTAGCCTTTCTTCGTATTTCCCTGTGTCAGTGCAAGAATTCATACACTGTTCGGAAGAACCCTTGTGTTCAGGCATTACACAAGGCACGATAGGGAATACCAAGGTATATTAGACTTCTAAGTAGCTTGTAATCTGATAGGAAAAAAAGACTCTGGTAACTGTTACACATGTCATCATGTGCCCTAAGAGAGGGACAGTGCCGTGGAAAGCCTGAGAACGCGGCACACTCGCATCTGAGTCCAGCCTTCAGCTCCGTATAGTTTCAGCTGATGCTCACGGAGCACCTCCTTATCTGCCAGGCACTGAGCAAGGTGATAGTGAACAGTACGTCATAAAACAAGCATGATCCTTCTTACTGTCATTTACAGCCAAGGACGTATGGTTTTATAAAGTAAATAAGTAGGAATGTGGTCAGGGCAGGCAGGCTTGACGAGGCAGTGTTTAAACTGAGATGAGGTGCTCATTAGGCCAAGAGCTAAGGCAGGAGGTAGGGGAGAAGGGCGTTGCGGGAAAGGATAATCCAGGTAGGGACAGGTACATGTGGGTGAGGGCCCAAGGCAGGAAAGCATGTGGACTGTTGGAGAGCCTGAAGGGAAGCCAGCGTGGCTGAAGCATGGAGGGGAAGGGAACTGAGCAAGAGGCGGAGGTGAGGCTTCAGAGAATTAGTCAGGGGCCTGATGGCGATGATTAATCAGTAGGCCTTTGTGGGTGCTGTTTGCTGTGTGGGGGATGGATGGAGGGGCAGTCGCAGTAGTCACGGGGAGAGAGGATTGGCGTTGGGTAGGACCCTGGCGAGGCGTGGGGGTGGATGGAAGAGGTAGGTGGATTCGAAACTACTAGAGATAGAAACTTAGTGGCTTTTAGTCTGTGCCAGACCCAGGGCTGGGCCCTGAGGCCATAGAGACAAAAGATATGCATCTTCTGTCCCCCTGGGCTTTGGAGGTCTAGTGGCCTTGAAGGTTAGGTAGGATGTGGGTAGGCAGACCCAGGAGCGTGGGATTTCCTTCCCATAGTCAGCAGCTCTATTCCAGTAAATGAGGAGAGTTTCTCTCTGAGGTGGCATAGAATATTACTCCTAGACTACAATCTTTTTTTCCCTAAGGGGCAGGAAGAGCTGTTTTTTTCCCAAGAGCCTGCTTTTATTCATTGGTTTGCCTGTAGTTCCCCTTTGTCCCTGTGATTTCATACCTGAGCTCCCTGCTGGATTTGGGGTTTGGAGACCAGAGTTAGCAACTTGCCACGTGACTGAAAAAGATTGAACTTCTCTGAGTCATTTTCACCTATAAATGGGAGTGATACTGATCTGATACCTGGCTCCTTTAAGGTATCTTAAAGTGCTTTGTAAGATATCAAGTGCTGTAGAAACGTGAGGTATCATTATTATTTCAGTGCAATATTCATTACCGATGAAATAACAGTTAAAAGCGAAGCATTCCACCAGGGAAGGCCAGAGTGTACCTTGCACATGACTCTGAAAGGGCAGATTCCGTAGAGTCCCTGTCCTTCAAGAGCTTGTTGGGAACGCTGGTCCTCTTCTCTTCTGTTTCATCCGCTGAGATAAACCATTTCCTCTTCTCCTCCTCCCGTCAGAATGGTTTGCAAAAGCAAGCCATTTCATTTCTATGCATTCCGGAACCCATTTGATGTAGAAGCCAAAGCATCTGCTTGGAGACCAAGAGAGCCTGTGAGCAGAGATGAGGGGGTTGCGCGGCTCTGGTTCCCAGCAGCCAGTTCACTCCCGGGAGTGTATTCAGTTGGTTTGTGGGGAGGAAAGCAGGCAAGGGCACCGAGCCATGGAAAACAGTCAACAGCACAGAACCAGCCCACACACCACCACCTAAACAGGGCGGTTTCAAGCCAGAGTTTTAGGCTTTCTTTGGGATTTTAACATGGGAAATTCTTTTTTTTTTTTTCTTAAGTAATATTTTCCCCCTTCTTAAATAAAAAGCATCAATCCTTAGGAATTAAGTACCCCCCCCATGAAGCTTTTTAAAAATATTTGTCTTCCGGCTATTAACGTGTTCTATTTGACCAAAAAAGAAGTAACAGTAAATGGAGTTAATTATCCGATGTAAAGACAAGTGGGTAGCGTATAACACAGCTTATCAGAGTTTTTTCTCTGCCCTCATATGCTTGTCATTGTTTTTATCTTCATTAATTTTCCCTAAACTAATACATATGCTCATTATAACTAAACAATTTGAAGATGTTATAAAGAAGTTATAATCTCTCCTTTCCCTTTACTCCCCATTTCCATCCTTCTGAACTCAGTTTGGTATGTGTCTTTTCTCCAAGTTCCTATTGAAATGGGTGTAGGGTTTGTGTAGATGTGTGGTTGTTTGGTCAGAAGTGGGAGCATACTTTTATTTTGCACTTTATTTTTCCCACTAAATAATGGGTCCTGGGTAGGGATAAATCTAATGCACCTTTTAAAATAGCTTCAGGACTGTTGACCTAGAAGACCACAATATATTCAGCTGTCTCTCCTTTGACAGATGTTCGAGTTATGTTTTGTTTTCACTAAAAATATTGTTGCACTAAATATCTTTATATGCATAGCCTTCTCTACTGGTGCATGTATTTATTTATTTAATTTATTTATTTAAATTGATTATAGTGGACACATAATGTTACATTAGTTTCAGATGTATAATATAGTTATTAGACAAGTCTGTAAGTTATGCTGTGCTCAGAACAAAAGGAGCCACCGTCTGTCACCATACAACACTATGATAATACCATTGACTATACTGGTGCTTTTATTTCTGTAAGTTACATTTTCATAAATAATATTGTATATTAATAATAATATACATATATTGTATGTATTTGACATTTTAATAGAGAATATCCTACTTTATAAAGAGTTCTAGTAATTTACATTCTTCTCAGAAATATAGGAGTACTTCCATTTCCCTAAATCTTTACCAATATTAGATATTCTTTCTGCTCTTCCTCCTGCCCTCTGTCTCTCCCTCCACTCTCCATTCCCCTCCTCCCTCCATCCTGTCTTCTGTCCGTACTGTCTGTGACCAAGGTGATGGCAGAAGATGGTATCTCACAGATGCTTACCTTGTATTTTCTTTACTACTAGTGAGATTGGACATTGTTTCATGTGAATTGGCCACTTTATTTTCCTCTTCTCTGAATTTCCTTCACTTTTTTCCTTAGGAATTGTTTGCTTTTTTCTTAACAAGTTATAGGAGATATTTATATATTAAGGATTCTATATGTATTGCAACTGTTTTTCCTGATCTGTTGTTTGTTAAATTTCTTCTGTTTTTTTCATCATAGTATCTGGATTTCTTGCCTTGTTTAATAATAATTTCCCCACCTCACAGTTATATAAATATTTTCCTAAACTTTCTTCCAGTACTTTTATGGCTTTAATTATTTAATCCTGAACCTTTAATCCCTTTGGAATTATGTTTATACGTAGCAAAGAGGTAGTGGCCAAGCTTTGTTCTAGACATGCCCTCACCATTTATTAAATAAGCCATCTTTTCTGTTTTGCATTGAAATTCCATCTTCGTGGTAATTAAGTTCCTTTCTTGTATCCATTTCTGAACTTGCTGCTTTAGTCTACAGACCTGTTTGTTCTTATGTTACAACCATATCTTTTTCTTAAGTCTTTATGAAGTAAATTTTTATTATCTCTTAAGACAACTCCCCTATTTACTTTTTAAAAATAATTTTCTTTCCCATTTCTTGGCTAAATTTTGGGGAATTTATTATTCCATATGAACTTTAAAGTAATTTTACCGATTTCACTCTCCCCCAAAAAACTATTTGTATTCTTATTAAAATTTAATTAAAACTATGTAGTAATTTGGAGAGAATTAATGTTTTTGGATAATTAGACTTCTCTACCCAAGAACATGCTAACTGGTTTGAAACTTAAGTGTTCTATTTCTATATTTTGTCATTTTACCTTGAAAGTTTTTAATAGGCATCATGAATACATTGTCTCAATTAAACAGTATTACTGCTTATCCTGGTTAACAAGGACCGTGCAAAGTTTTAGTTCTCATCTCTCTTCCATCCTTGACACTCTTATAGTCAAATGGGTAATATTGTCAAATTTGTGTTTATCTCCCCACTTAGCTTGGTTTCACTCACTCAGTGTTTTAAATTTACCAATACACTATACTTAATAATTTGTCTCACTGTTGATTCCAAAATCTCACTTACTTTCTGTGTTTGGTTTCCTTTCTGTTGGAGAATGTTCTTGGAGACTAAATGGCAAACTTTTGCTCAGTCTTTGTCTGAAAATGTCTTTTGCATTCTTGATATTTTAGAATTCTAGATACACAGCACGTATAATGATTATGACAGTTATGTGTGCCTCTTTAAAAGTTTTCAACCAAAACAGAAATTATTCATGTAAAAAGGGAAAGTCTTTCACTCCTTTCTCCCCCAGTTTCCAAGTCCCAGAGAGAGCCGCTCTTCATAGTTTGCTGTTGGCCTTGTTCTGTGTAGATACAAATGTGTATGTATACAAATGGTGTATTTTTCTAAGCATAAACAATCATGTTTATAACATGATTAGAACAGTCATGTTCATATTTATATTAAAAATGGTCACATATGAAAATGATGACATTTCCTTGTCGGTGCAATGAAATCTTTCTCATTCTTTGTGATGGCTGCCTAGTTTCTCACTGTATTGGGACTCTGTAACTTAACTCTTCCTATTAACAGACATTTAATTTGTTTCCTCTTTTTTTTGCTATTACACAGGATGTTTTACCGAACATCCTTTTACTTACAGGAACATACCTATAGCGTAGATTCCTACATATTTGGCTGACCCAAAGGATGTGCACATTTAACATGTTACTGGATACACTTAACTTGTCTTCCCAAAGATTGTTTTAGTTTACAACCCTAGAGTGTGTCTGGCTCTAATTTTTGTTTTTCCTCTGTTCCCTTAGAATTTCCATACTGATCACTCAACGGCGGAAAATCGGAAGAGATGCAAGTAGGAAAAAGAAACTAAACCAGGTGGGTAGTCACACTGTTCTTACCACTCTACTGTCACATCCCAAGCGTTTCTGTGTAAATAGCTTTCTTTCTGTTTGAACGAATAAATCGGTCCCAAGGGAAATTAGAAAGGAATTCTGGTCCCATGGAGATAAAGCAGGCTGGCACTTTGCAGAAGTTATACAATATCACACCCCAGTTTTACAGACCGTTTCTTTATAGCATCAGAAAAACAAGTTACTTCTGGCGGCTCCAAAGAGCGTGGGTTTCTCCAGTCATCCACTTACGCTGATGGAATCATGCACAGAAATTATTAGCAAATTTGGGCACGATGCCAGCTTTCCTGTCCACCAATTGTTGCAAAGCTATTTTCATAAAGCCTAGGGCACATTATGGGCATTTTAATACTGTGATAGAAGAGCAAAAGCAAGCAAACCCAGCCTGGAGAAACCAGCACAGCTCACTGGTCTGACGAAGAGAGATGGTGCCTACAGGTCCCCCCACCCCCAGTTGGAAGAATATTGCATTTCATGAAATATGAATGGCATACTCTTAGAGTATGGCCACTCTGGGTCAGTGTTCATAATTAAACACTTGTGGTGTCAGTTAATCATTTTTAACAGCCTCTGATCCATGGTTCAGCCCCCTTCCCTCCCCACAACCTGCCCACCCTCTTTCGGCTCTGTCTCCCTGCAGTTAGAGCTGAATCTGTCCAAGGCCTAGTAGTCCCGGGAGCTTGGGGGATTTCCACCTCTGAATTCCTGTGCTTGGCCTAGCCTGCCTCTAGCCCCTAAGGTTCATCTTTTCTGTTGCTGGCAGAGTGAGAGTCTGGCTGCTGCCCTAGGGCTGGAACTCCCCAGCTGCTTATCAGCAGGGCTTCTGGGCCTTGCCCTGCGGTAGCTTCCCGAGCTACCATGCTTGTGTCCTGCTCTGACTCAGTGCCCCTGGGAAGCCCCTGGATGCAGCTGTTCGCAGTGACTAAGACGAAGCAGTCAGTTCCCGGGACTGCTTGTCTGGCTCGTTTAGGAGGGCAGGCCTCCAGAAGGCCTGTGTTCCAGCTGCCGCGGGAGTGCTGGGGCTCACGGCCACCAAACCTTGAGGTTGCTGGGGCTATAGGAAGTCTAGAGCTGGGGTTTTTAGCCAGGAGTTTATGGTTAGCTTCTGGGATTCAGGATTTCCCCTGTACCTACGGTTCAGTATATGTAAATGGATTTTCCTGGGCCAAGAAATGTCCTTGGCTTTGCTCAGATTTTCAGAGGTCTCTGTGAGCTCTGAATTTTAAGAAACACTGGTCTAGAGAAAGTCTGAAGTGTTGGAGACCACTGTGTCCCCCTGGGCACAAGCCTCCCAGATCTAGGATCTTGAGAGACCTCCCCAGGCCTCTGGGTTTTTCTGTTTGAAGCTGAGCTCGGACAGATTACCCAGTATCACTGACGCTGAGAGCCTTCCCGAGGGATGTCCCAAAGCCCAGTCCTGAAATCTCACTCCCAGCCCGTTTCATCTCATTGACCACAGTGGTGTACTGAACACTCCAGGCAGGTTTTCCGGTTTCTGAGTCCGTAGCTCAGAAGGGTCCCTCTAGGCAGCTGTACTGACAATGGGGAGAATAGTGTTAATGGCCGGAATTCAGTCTGGCTCCCCACTGCCAGGAACAGCAATAAATGCTTTATTCACATCATCATCTTTAACTCCCACAACCCTCCAGTGAGGTTACTACCGCTGTTTTACAGGTGGGGGACCAGAGGCACAGAGAGATCTAGTCACTCACCAGAGATCACGTAGCCAGTAAGTCAGTAAGTGATACGTGACCCAAGCTCATGAGCTTAACCACCCAAGCTTTCTGGTGAAAGTAAAGGGCATCGACAGAAAAACTAGAGTAAACAGCAAAAACAGGGTCATTTAGGACAGACTGTCCTGTATGTTGTAATAGTGAGAGCGTTGCTGGATTATAGCGGGTACACAGCTGTGATCTTAAATCCTTAAGGAAAAGTTGGCAGTACATTAAAGCATCCTATGAAAAGAATTTCTATCTATTACAATTCAGATAAGGGTTTTTTTATAGCTTTATTGAGATATGATTCGTATACCATACAGTTCACCTGGCTATAGTGTACAATCCGGTGACCTTCAGTGTATTTATAGAATTGTGTGTCTATCCCCATAATCAGTTTTAGAACATTTTCAGTACCCATCACCTTCCCAACCCCCCATCTCTCCCCAGTCCTAGGCAACCACTGATCTATTTTCTATCTCCAGATGAGGTTTTCATCTTACAAGAGTAACAGTGTGGGAATCTTGGTGATCTGGAGTGAGTCATTCCTTAAGGGATAATTAGACAAATGAAATTGGACTCTAACGTATTTTATAAATGGCTTTATTGGCTAAGAAGCTGCAAGCATGTCTTTGTTATGCCCAAGTTGGGGGTTGACATAAGCAAGAAACAAGTATTTTCTGAGTCCTTTCTACTTGGGCACATTGCCCGTCAAGCAGGCTCTTCTCGGTCCCGGCTGTAAAGCAGTGGCTTCGTGAGGCCGTGTTTCTCCGCTGGTGTCCAAACCAGTGGTAACTGGGCATGGGAGCTTTCTTTCTGTCCTCTGAATCCCTGGGTGTGGTTCCTCTGTCCGCCTTGCTGTAGTCGTCGTTGGCGTGAAGGCTGCTCGTGTAGATGCCTGTCACTCTTTGAAATTCCGGAGACAGCTCGCGCAGGGTCCTGCCGGGCCCTTGGACCACGTCCAGGAGCGAGCTCTCTGGAGCGGTTCACACTCCATCGTCTTGTCTCTCCTGACTCATTCGTTTATTCCTTCTTTTAGAAAGCGTTTCTTGGGCACTCCGCAACAGGTGCGGTGGTACGTGCCCTGAAAGCTCCTTATGCCATTTTTGCAGCCTGTGGCCTTGCTTCAGCCACGCCGGTGCCGGAGGGGGGCGGGCATTTGTGTTGAGAACAGCCGGGGGGGCCGGGAGTTCTCTGACGGGGACGAGACAGGTGCAGTGTCGTCACGTCCAGACAAAGCCGTCCCCAGAATGTGTCGTCCTGAAGGACGCGTGCTGAATGGGCAACGAGGAACTGCGGATTCGAGTCCTGATTCACTCACTCGCTGGTGGGGGTCTTCGGTGACTCATGTCACCTCTGTGAGTCACGGTCTCTCCATGGGGAGGGTTAGCTAATGCAGTGCCTCTCAAATACTTTCAGGACCATTGCTGGAAAGAGTGTGCACTTATTAAGCGTGGAGTAAACGACAGGAATGCGGGAATGTTCTGTGATTCTCGGAGCTAGGGTAGAGCTCAGACAGGTCAGGTGAGTAGGTAGAGACAAGGGTAAACGAAGACAGAGGAGAACCTCCCTTTCCTCTCCTTGGCAACCCGCTCCTGCCACATCAGCCGCTTCCCCTCACCTACTCCTAAGGGGGCTCCCACGTCCTCTGCCTCCCTGAGCCCGAGAGGCACCGCCTTTGAGGCCTGAGATCCAGCCAGTCCTGGGGGGATTCCAGGCTCCAGTACTGCCCAGCTCTGTGTCAGAGGCATCTAATTATACGGGGCTACTGTGAGGTAGCTCAGAGGCTGTTACCGTGTCCCGAGGGACAGTAGATACACCCCAGAAATGGTAGCCGTCTTAATTTTCCTATTACCGTTCTTACTTGGCCAGGAGCCGGGGCTCAGATGGTTATTTCAATCACTGGCTTGAGATCATGGATGTCCTTAAGTTTTTATATTGTTTGTGGACTGATTCGGTCATGTGACTGTATTTAATAAGCCCCTTCCACATTCAAGAACTACACTGTGTGGCGGCGATACAGTGACAAACGCGAAAGTCTGAGGACCCGTCCTCTCGGAACCAATTGGGAAGGCAGTCAGTGAACACCTGTGTCAGCACGTGTGTCCTGGCAAAGCAGGGCTCTTGTCTTTGCTGCTGGGTCCCCGGCGCATAAACACGTGGCTCTTCCAGGTTCCACGGGAGGCCGTTCAGTTAGTACTTACCTAGGATGTGTTTTGCGGATTCTGATCTCTGCTCCTAGCTCGAGGCGGTAGGGAGGCACCGAGAACTTTGTTTCTCCTTTAGCTCAGACAGGAGGATCCAAATCTGGCCGGCACTGCCCTCAGGCAGGCAGCGTCTATGCCCGGGTGCACTGTGTGAGGGAGTCCCCTCACTCACCCCACACCAGGGAGGAAGCTCAAAAATTGGCGTGGAAGGGAAGCATTAAGGCATCCAATTGGAAATGCCTATGAGAGGGTAAAATCCAAATCAGAGCCAAATCCAGAGGCACCCTTGTCCTCCAGGACCCCGGAAGGCGCCAGCCACTTTCGGTCTTCCTTCCCCACCAGCCCTGCACCCCGGCACTGAGGCCTCCTGGTGGTCTTTCTGGACACTGGGCAAGGCCCGCCTCTTGCATTTCCTCCCTGTGCCTGGCATGGTTTCCCCAGGTATTTGCCTGCCTGCCTGCCTCCCTCCTTCCCTCCCTCTCCCCCTCCGGGTCTCCACTCCGGGATCCCATCGCTGAGGCTCTCTGTGCCCTCTGTAGAGAGTCCCATACCTCTCGCCCTGCTTTAGTTTCCCCTTAGTACTTTTGCCACTCGATAATTGATTCTGTGTGCTTGTTAGTAGAGTCACTCCACTAGACCTTTGGCTTCATGAGGGCTGAGAGTCTGTTTCGTTCACTGCTGAATCCCCAGTGCCCAGCGAGTGATAAATACAATGGGAGGGAGGGAGGAACTTCCTTAAAATGACTGTGTAAATGACTGGCATCCTGAGCCCCAACTCTGCCTTATACATTTTCTCGTTACAGCTCTTAACTACGAAGCTCTTTAAAGATTCTTAAAATTTTTAAAGATTTCTATACAGAGGTGGTCCCTAAGCTCTTTTCCCTCTTCTTACTTGTGTGGGCTCCAACACCCTCCCAGCAGCAGCAGAGGCCACTGTCCTGTGTCCCCGCCGCCCCGTGTCCCTGCCGCCCCATGTCCCTGCCGCCCCATGTCCCCGCCTGGTGTTAGTAGAATCCTTGTGGGAGGCAAGGGGCGCAGCTTGA